TTATACAAAGGGCCCACTGCACTGAGGTTTTACGTAATAGGAGCTGTTTTCGATTCGTCATAGGTATTGAATAGAGGGGAATATATGATATATACCCTATATTCAACCTAAGGGTCGAATAAATATGAATGGGGGTAAATATCACCTAATAAAAAGGGATATATTGATCAGCTTAACCCCTCTTTTCAATAAACTCTTAAGTGCTTGAACATTATAATTTAATTGGTTTTAATTGTTTGAATATATATATATATATACATGTCATGGAAGCAAACCCATGCATCTACAATAATCAGAAATTACTATAATACGCACACTCCTTTATATATAGAAACTAAGACTGTTATTTTATCTGTCGCTTTATGGTGTATGCAGACACCATGTATTTCATGACGTTTTAGCATATAGTATATGTAGCAATTTATGCACTATAAGATGTATATTTCTTCGTCACATATATATACATTTTAATATGATATTTGTTTTAACTATTAAGATACGGCACCAACCCTAATAAGAATTACGATGTGAACTACTGGGTAATATAGATGAACATATGCCCAGGTAAAACAACTAAACCAAACTAATTAATTAATTGAACTAATGCTCAATTAATTAGACGATATAAGTTCCGGTGTCAGATGGGAAGCAATACCCTTTTGAAAAAGTCTAACATTGACGAAACGCATCAAGGGGACCCGATGTTTCCTCGCTGATACACTGGATAAACCTTCAAAGGCTGGGCGCCGTTTATACCATATGATAATTTTATTCAACTTATCTCGTAAGTGTAATCATTTTTTATCGGGAATAAAGGACTTTCGTGACTACACTTAGATCTGCTTTCTCCCTTGTGTCTTTTTTCCCCTTCTTCCTCCCTCGGTTGGACTGCACTTGGAGGGCGTTCGACATCGGCACCGAGACCGTGTGCTGACCGATTGGAGGAGAGAGTAGAAAACAAAGATTTCGGGGACTTACGGACTGAAGACCAATAGACAATTTGATTTTTTCAGACTTTTTCTCTGAGTGAAAGAGTTAACGCTTTTTCGATTGAAAGATTTTTTGGTGTAACTCTAATCCACGCTTTAGAGACACTGAAAACTGATGATTGAGGCCAGCATATAACAATCTTTATTAGAAGGACTGAAGATGTTCTAGGATTGGCCCAATCTGTTTGCCTCTCTTTTGTTCGTTCTGATTTTGTGTTTTTCGTTTTGGGGCTATGATAAATGCTTTATTCATGTAAGCTACCATTATTAATCGGTCATTCTGAATCGAATAGTTGTTTAACTGGAGTTAATTAATCGAGTGATGAGATCAATCTATTGAATCTGAATGCATATGCAACTCATATATATATCTTGAGGCTGAGAGCCTAATCACAGAACATCGCTCACTATTCACGTATTTGTCACATCACAAACATATTTAACTAACAAAACACAGGCGAAGTTCATATTTTTATCATTTATTTTTATAATTTTGCACAATTTACTAATCTATTCGTTCAATTTTATTTTTCACATACTACAATTAAATATTTTCATTAAGATTGAAACACAGAGAGGTGATACAGTAAAAATAATATTGCTCACTACCAAGCGCAACATAATTGCACACATTAATCACATCTATACACTGTTGCAGCTGGTGATTTCACATTTTTCCTAGCGCAACTAAATTGGTTATAAATGTCAATTGCTTTAGGTAAGACTTTCTTAAAGTTGTAAATCTCTAAAGTAGACTAAAAGTCTGGCAGGTTGTTGTCAAATTTTTATATTCATGGCTTTCTCCGAAAGCTTAGGTCAGAGGTTATCTTTCTACTCAATCTTTAGAAAATAGTAACATTAAATGAAATGCTCACAACTTTTATATCAAATAGTGCCCCCTGGTGGTGATTGTGAGGGAAAGGTCTCGGGTAAAATGATATATCTGACGTCATGGTTCACGTCAATAATCACGTGGAAGACCAAACCAAGCATAATTCTAGGGGGGATAAAAGCGAATAGTAGAGGCCAAGAGCCGGAAGCCAAATTCCAACAAAGACAAGGCAGTAAGCAAATACATTCTAAGGGTATAGGTCGGAAGCTGAGGACTGCTGTCCAAGTAAACTGAACTAAAGAGAACCTGACCATCCCTTGTTTCTGAAGTGTAACCGCTGACTTTTCAGGCAACTAATCATAAATTGCTGGTAAAGTATAAATTTCTATCTGTGTATTAGGCAATTCATTAGCCACATATATATTCGGGTAAACCATTGAGTTCTTGTAGGATCGAGATTGATTGAGATAATTTTAACTGAAGTACAAATTGTCTTTCAATCTTGGGAAATATATACATTTGTATAATCTCCAGGAAACTGATTTCAGTTTCTAGTCAATGGTCTAGTCTGATATACATTGAATTAAACTGGTGGAAATTTTACTTTGAATATAGTCTTGGCTTATAGCCAATCCTGTGCATGATGGGACAAATCCTGCCCATGAGCTGTTAAAAGTTTGAGTTTGTGAACATCTGTTGCTGGGAGAAGTCACATGTCAATTCTGAACTTTGTTTTCTTATTTTGTGATCCACTGATACCCATTGCACTAAAAAGTTGATTTTGGTTACGTTTATATATTTTGAATATCCTGGTTACATTTTATGCATTACCTGTGTTATCAAATTGATATTATCTGATCCATATTCTTTGTGTCACCAATTTAAATATACATGTTTTGTATACTTTTGTATTCCTCTTGTCGTCAAGTCAGCGCAAAATGAAAGAACTCGTGTAAATTTTGATGGAAATAAGTTGGGAATCTCCTTAAATATAGATCCTTGTTTGTTTCCATAAACAGAAAACTGTATATCAGCAGTATAAACATTCTGACAAACAGCCCGCTTACCTTCAGTAGATGCACCCCAATGAGTTAGAGGTTGAAGCTTCCCCTTGGAACATGTGAGGCCTAAGACTAGACTCACCCAGGGCCAGACCTCCCAGATGTTGTCAAACTTTTGTTTTTAAGTGACTGATGCTCAGACCAATTTTCCATTTTGACTGCAGTCCAGACTAATTGGAATGCTTTCCCTTCATTTTCTGCCTCGAACCCCTCCAGTATGGACACAAAGTGCAACAATGAAGCAGCAAAATGTCACCAGCACATCGGTCAAGGGAAAATCCTATGGTGACATTTCAGGACCCCCTTCAGACTCAGGATGAAGGGGACCCTGCCCAGCCCGGAAATGTCAGTGTGACACAAGTGTCCAAAGGACATTCACTTGACCTCAGGTGTGCTGGTGACATTTGTTTCATCGATCCAGCAGTGCCATCCAGTCATTTTAGGCACCCGTCCTAAGGAGTGTCCAGTATGGAGTGAGGAGGGATACCCATTGACAAAGTGCAACAAGACACTCTAAAATGAGCAGGGGTTAGAACCTCTGCCTAGGACAGGGGTCAGCAACCTTAAAACAGAGCCATTTGGACCAGTTTCCCACAGAAAAATCAGGAGCCACAAAACTTGACATCTATAATTATTATAGGTATGTGTGGGCTTTGTAACTCACTGAAATCAGGGCTTACCCGAGACCCCACCTGAGTGACCCTGCAGAGCACACCATAGACCCTGCACTGCCCCATATTACACCAGGGGGGGGGGGGGGGGGGACACGGGAGAGGGGATCCCG